CGCGGAGGGCCCGCCCCCGGGGAGGGCGGCAGGAGGAGGAGAGACCTAATCGGCTGGAGCCGGGAGGAAGGGGTGGGTCCCGGGGAACTGGCGTCTGTTACCCGTCTCGTTTCCCAGGCTGGTTTTATAGAAGATGGTGTAGTTCCTGATGAAGCCGTTCTGCACGTCGACAGGGAGCTGCTCCCACTCCAGGACGGCTTCGTTCTTCCCCACCTTCTTCGTCCGCACGATAGGGCCCTTGGAAGGCGCTGCAGAGAGGATGGTCATTTGCTAACTGGACGCCATTAGGGTTTAGTGACACTTCACCACAGCTCCCTGGACAGCTGAGCCAGCCTGACCGGAAGGCCTGCAGCGGCTCTGCTCACACCTTCCCGGGCGGGGACGGGGGTTTACGGGCTTGCCTCAGGGACGGACGGGGGGGACGGACGGGGGGGACGGACAGGGAGCTTACAGGCTTGCTTCAGGGACAGACTGGGGGGGCGGACGGGGGACTTACGGGCTTGCTTCAGGTACGCCCTCACGGCCTCGGGGCTCCCCGGCCCGTCGCCGTACACCGGGGTGACCGTGATCAGGTAGCAGGTGCTCTCTGCCAGGCTCCCTGGAGGAGAGAAGGAAGCAGGCGCTGTTTCTCACAAGGAGAGTGTCTGACTCCACTGCTTATGTCACATCACAGCTGCACGGGCTTCTCTAAACCTGCAGCTTCTGAAGGAAGCCCTGCCTCTGTGCACTGGGTTCCAGCTCAGAGGGTAACTGTGCACGAGAGTCCAAGGCCACCCTCAGTGCCAATGAGCGGGTACAGGCCACCCTCATCGCCAATGAGCGGGTACAGGCCACCCTCATCGCCAATGAGCGGGTACAGGCCACCCTCATCGCCAATGAGCGGGTACAGGCCACCCTCATCGCCAATGAGCGGGTACAGGCCACCCTCATCGCCAATGAGCGGGTACAGGCCACCCTCATCGCCAATGAGCGGGTACAGGCCACCCTCATCGCCAATGAGCGGGTACAGGCCACCCTCATCGCCAATGAGCGGGTACAGGCCACCCTTGGTGCCAATGAGCAGGTACAGGCCACCCTCATCGCCAATGAGCGGGTACAGGCCACCCCTGGTGCCAATGCAGTGGGTAAAGCATTTACGTCGTCATAGGAGTGATGACTGTAATCAGTCGGGAGTTAGACCCCTGACCTCACGTTATGGAATCTGCCTCCTTGTCTGACGACTTGTCTGCCTGGTGAACCTGCTGCCTCTGAGCCAGGCCCACTTGGTCAGGTGACTCAGGAAAGAGAACTGGGTCATTTCCCCAGAAAGTAACCCCACGTTACAAGGAGAAGTGATCCTTACTCCGCCATCTTTAACCCTCCAGACAAAGTGGCTGCTGCTCAGCCACCTAGTGACCAGCACAGTGCACTGTTATCTGCACTCGGCCGTCCACAGTGGGGGAGGGAGTGTTTGTGGCACTGAAAAGGGAGCACACACCCGGGAGCAGGGAGCACACACCAGGTGCAGGGAGCAGGGAGCACAGACCGGGTGCAGGGAGCACAGACCAGGTGCAGGGAGCAGGGAGCACGCACCAGGTGCAGGGAGCAGGGAGCACGCATCAGGTGGAGGGAGCAGGGAGCACAGACCAGGTGCAGGGAGCAGGGAGCACGCACCAGGTGCAGGGAGCAGGGAGCACGCATCAGGTGGAGGGAGCAGGGAGCACAGACCAGGTGCAGGGAGCAGGGAGCACGCACCAGGTGCAGGGAGCAGGGAGCACGCATCAGGTGGAGGGAGCAGGGAGCACAGACCAGGTGCAGGGAGCAGGGAGCACGCACCAGGTGCAGGGAGCAGGGAGCACGCATCAGGTGGAGGGAGCAGGGAGCACAGACCAGGTGCAGGGAGCAGGGAGCACGCACCAGGTGCAGGGAGCAGGGAGCACGCATCAGGTGGAGGGAGCAGGGAGCACAGACCAGGTGCAGGGAGCAGGGAGCACGCACCAGGTGCAGGGAGCAGGGAGCACGCATCAGGTGGAGGGAGCAGGGAGCACAGACCAGGTGCAGGGAGCAGGGAGCACGCACCAGGTGCAGGGAGCAGGGAGCACGCATCAGGTGGAGGGAGCAGGGAGCACAGACCAGGTGCAGGGAGCAGGGAGCACGCACCAGGTGCAGGGAGCAGGGAGCACGCATCAGGTGGAGGGAGCAGGGAGCACAGACCAGGTGCAGGGAGCAGGGAGCACGCACCAGGTGCAGGGAGCAGGGAGCACGCATCAGGTGGAGGGAGCAGGGAGCACAGACCAGGTGCAGGGAGCAGGGAGCACGCACCAGGTGCAGGGAGCAGGGAGCACGCATCAGGTGGAGGGAGCAGGGAGCACAGACCAGGTGCAGGGAGCAGGGAGCACGCACCAGGTGCAGGGAGCAGGGAGCACGCATCAGGTGGAGGGAGCAGGGAGCACAGACCAGGTGCAGGGAGCAGGGAGCACACACCAGGTGCAGGGAGCAGACACCCGGTACAGGGAGCAGGGAGCACACAGCAGGTGCAGGCAGCACACACCCGGGAGCAGCAGGGCCAGGCCGCCTTGGCTTCTCTCCGCCTTACAGCCCTGGGGGGACCATCTGTGACTGAGTGGCTCTGGGGACGGCAGAAGGCCGTCTGCCCTCTGTCCACCGTGCGGTCCAGAGGCTGAGTGCACCTAGTGAACCGGACGCCTGGCTGGAGCTGAGCACTGGCCGCCTCCCCAGGGCCACCCTCTCGGGCAGAGAGCAGGTAGGAGCTGGGCTGAGGTCCGAGGTACCTGTGAGGTGGGTGCGGTGCACGGCGCCGTCCTCCTGCTGCCAGTCGGGGACGCAGGGCGCCTTGTCCGACAGCACGCACCACTCCAGGATGTACTTGCTCACGGGCTCTCGGGGGGCGGTCCACTCCACCCACAGCCGGTTGTCTTTGGGAAACGCTTTCAGATCCCTTACGGGGCGAGTAGCTTCAAAACACAAGGTGAACACCACGTTGATAAGTGAACATTTAAAAACTTAAAATATGAGTATTTTACATTCATTTCCATAACCATGCAATCTATCTTGCTGTCCTTTCTGTAGCATATAACATCAACATGCATTTCCATGAATAAAAGCACCTCATTATCATTTACATGCACTCTATTAAATGCTTCCTTTCCCAAATTCTTCAGATGTTCTGTGTAGGTCAATTATAATGTTTCTTCTTCGAAAGCTACCGATAAACAGTACGTTTACGTCGTATGCACCTCAGGTCCCCAGAACCTTGAAGTGACATTAAAGAACGAGGGAGGCACATAACCAGCGCTGCCTGCCTGACTGAGCAGGTGGCAACGATGGGGCGCGAGCAGCGCCGCCGTGAGGGTGGTCAGAGCGCGTCCGTCCTCGCAGGCGGCCCCACCGAGCCCTCCCTCAGGGGCCAGGCCCTCGGACACCGACCTGGGAAGTCAGAGGCAGGGATGGTGAGCACAGCGGCGTCGGACGTGCCGACCAGGTTCCTGGCTGTCAGGGCTGCTTTATAGCGATCGTTGGTGAGGTTCACGGTCAGCTTCGTGTCGTTGACTGTGTAGTTTTGTGAATGTGATTTCCATCTCGTGAGAGTCACTGTGTAATCCAAGATTTTCCCATTGGCTTCAAACGGAGGCAGGGTCTGTAACAGACACTTCATGTTAGAGCGTGTTCCCTGCAGGGTCTGTAAGACACTTCATGTTAGAGCGTGTTCCCTGCAGGGTCTGTAACACACTCCATGTTAGATCGTGTTCCCTGAAGCCAGACCAGAGCTGACTCCCCGTGTGCTGACCTGCCAGCAGGCTCGGCCTCAGTGCTCACCGATGGTCCCGGCCTCCACGCCGTGCTCACCGCGGGGGCAGGAGCACCGCACACGGGCCGAGGAGGTGGGAGGGCAGCTGCGGGGCCAGTTTAACATTACGCCCCAGTATTTTTCTCCGCCTTTTCTGGTATGATCCTCTCACGTACGTGTATGGAGCACACAACCATTTTATCTCCATTACTGGCGTGCACTCTGATCACACAGACCTTTCCTCATGATTTCCTGGGCACCCGGGAGTCGACCAGACTCGTCCCTGTCCCCACAGCCCCCTCCCCACCCCTTCCCCGCCCAGCCACGCCGAGGCTTTTGCTACGGCCCGTGCCTGCCCTTGTGCAGCAAATGCGAATCGTGGGCTTCCGCGTGCTGAGCTGATTCAATGCGCTGCTGATAGTGAGATGAACAAACATGTGCGTTAAAGCCCCGCTCGTCCGTCACCTACGACGCACTTCCACAGGAGCTGGAGAACACAGACGGGCGCTCACCTTCCACAGGAGCCGCACGGACCTGTAGCCGTGAGCAGGGGACGGCTCCACCTTATACCAGAAGCTCGGCGCCTTGGATGGTCCTGAAGGAATGACATGCACCTAGTAAATGTTTTTATTGTAACAGAAGCAAAGCCTGGAGGTTACTCCCTCACGTTGTCCTTAACACCCTCACCCTCAGCCACATCCCTCCCCTACACGTGGCCCATCTGGCCGTGAGCTGGGGGGAGGGGGGGGCGGGGCGGGGAGGACAGTAGGACCTGAGGAGTCAGGTACATAGAGGCTCCTGTAATCTCAGGACCGTGAGGCCACAGGCAGCCCTGGGCAGTCACCAGGGCATCCCAGGTCTGACTGCTAAAAACAGCCCTGAAAACCCCATTTAAGTCCCCTTTCACATGTGCTTAAGGCCCCACGTACACACGTGAGACTGTGAGACACGTCAGAACAGATGGACCCAGTGTAGTTCATCCCCGTATCTGGGGGTGATTCGTGCAATAAGATGTAACACAAATGAATTCACGAGACTGTGTGACAGTCACCAACCAGGTGAAAAAGCATTTACAGAACCAAGTGTCAATGCTAGTGGTCAGGCTGTAAAGTCCCTGAAGGCCGCCCGATTCAGAAACATTTTATGCTACAAGGGGAACCGGGCTGTCAGCAGAACCTGACAGAGGCTCTGAGTCAAGTCTCAGCGGTGCCGTGCGGACCAAACCCAGAGAGAAGGCCGCCCGAGGCTGGGGAGCTGCCTGGCGGGTCCACGGAGGTCAACCCACAAGCAGAACAGCAGAGTGAGGAGCTGACACCCTCAGAGCCATGTCTGGGCTAGAAACGTCTCCCTGCACAGAGCAACCGGAGGCTTCAGTCCCAGGCTCCTGGCTCCTGGCTCTGGGGTCTAGAGCTCTGGACGAAGCACACGTGCTGTTGCCCAGGAAGTCTCATGCCAGGACGGCTCCTGCGGCTGCGGAGGGTGTGGTCGGGGACACCTCCGTACCTGCTGCCCACGCCCCCCACAGCTGCTTTCTCACGGCAGCGCAGACCCATGCCAGGGGATTGACTTAGGCCAGTGATTCCCAAAGTGGGCGCTACCGCCCCCCGGTGGGCGCTGCAGCGATCCAGGGGGGCGGTGATGGCCACAGGTGCATTTGGGGGCGATGAGTAACTGCTATTAAAATTTTAAAAAAATTAATTTCCACAGGAGTCAAACCTTATACTTGAAAATGTGGAGATACTTGTTCTTGGGTTTGAATAAAATGGGAGGAAACAATATATTTATAGTTTGTGACTTTCTTCTAAAGATACTTTCAATCCACTAGAGAGAAATGTGTGATTGCTACTGAAATTGTGGGCATAGTGATTCTCCAGCTTTTGTCTGAGTGATGGGAGGCATGTGTATTTATATAGACCAGTGATTCCCAAAGTGGGCGCTACCGCCCCCCGGTGGGCGCTGCAGCGATCCAGGGGGGCGGTGATGGCCACAGGTGCATTTGGGGGCGATGAGTAACTGCTATTAAAATTTTAAAAAATTAATTTCCAGGGGCTGAGTAATATTTTTTCTGGAAAGGGGGCGGTAGGCCAAATAAGTTTGGGAACCACTGACTTAGGCTATCAATACGCACACTACAGCTTACAGCTCAACGTCCCTGAAAGTAAAAGTGTTTGAATAAAATGGTTGCTCAGCAGGCAAGGAGGCCTCGGTCACTCAGCCCAGCAGGGCTCCCACGGCCAGGACAGCGCGCCCGCGCAGGTCACTCACGGTCCTCGTACGTGGTCCCCCGCGCCTCTTCGCTCCAGTCGCTCCAGAAGCCCTGGCCGTCCTCCTTCATGCAGCGCACCCGGAACACGTACTCCGTGAAGGGCCGCAGGTCCTGGACCGTGAAGGAGTAGCGGGTGGACGCTGTGTCTTCAAGAGGAATCTGAAAGCAGAGCAGCCAGCTGACAAAACCCCATGGCACTCAGTCTTCAGAAACTAAGTTACTGAAACAGACTAACACGCTAACTCCAGCTCTGGGGAGAGATAAACGCAAGTCAAAAAGCTCTTCACAGCAGCAGAGTCCGCAGGTTTGAGAAGCACAGACACGTCTACTCTGAACCCTTCCTGCCTCGGTGGGCAAATTTAGAAAGAATGACAGCAGCCAGCACAGCAGCCGGGCGCGAACGAATCAGAATTACACCTATCTTTCTGTCAGATCGGCAAAAACAGCAACCGATCTGGGTGTGCCGCGGAACTGCAGTCATTAGCGCACGTGCCAGGAGACAACGGGAGACCGCGGAGGGAGGTCCCGAGAGGCTGTGGCCACAGGCGAGCGCCGGTACCTGGCTCCAGGCCGCGGTGCCCCGGGCCCGGTACTGGATGTCGTACTTCAGGCCGATGAACTTGTCGATGCTGGAGTTGACCCAGGTCAGCTTCAAGATGCTGGACAGCTCCTCCGAGTTGCTGACGGACACGTTGCGCGGAGGAACGGGCTTCACTGGAGAAGGAAATAAACCCTTGTGTCCATCAGCTTCTCTGCAAACTCACACGCCCCCTCCTGCTCTCACCCGGTCACCACTGTCACCACGTCCCGATCAGCACACGAGAGAAAGGAGCAGCTTCTACACTCTGGTCACTGACAACATTTGTTCTATCTTTTCAGGCTCAGATGTCGGAGAACAATTAAATACGTGTAACGTACAGAACTTCTAAAAAGAATAAAGCCAGGCCGGACTCACACTGTGGCTACCACCTGTGAGATGCCTGGAAAGTGGACAGACACCAGGAGGTGACAGTCCCTGTGAAACCAGCGGGGAGTGAGCGGGGACGACGGGCACTGTGCTTTGTCCACGTCGTGTTTAATGTTGTCGACAACATGAACCAACAACACAAGTGCTTGTTTCTACGCTGACCGAGACCTAGAACTCCCTCAGTCGTAAACCACGGCGAGTGCGGCGGGGGCTACCTCTATTCACGGGGTCGAAGTTGATGTGCTCGGACGTGGCCTCCCCCAGGGCGTTCCGCGCCTCCACCCAGACCTCCATGTTGACGAAGTACACGGGCAGGTACTCCACGGTGCACGCAGGGGGGCTGCCGCGCTTCGTCTTACAGTCAGGAAACTTGTCCGTTGCCCTAAATACAAAAACGGAAGAATCAGGCATTAAAGGAGAACTGAAAACACGAGCGTGAAAAGGTGGCTTGAAGGGTTTCGTGAGACCCAGGTTATTACAGCGCAGAACACAAAGTTGATTCCAACATGTGTGAAATAAACCGACTGCTGAAAAACAGACTTTCCTAAAAACTAACCTGCTGATGGTCAAAACACGTTTGATCTGTATCTTAAACACAAAATTATCCTCAAACTTCTGCTGCAGGAGCATTCCGTCTAGTGTGCTACCCTCAGCCCCGGCCCCTCCCCACGGCTCCTCCCATGCTGGGGGCTCAGTGCCACTCCTCTCCTCCCCGCACAGCCCTCCCGGCCGGCACAGCCCTCCCCCGGCAC